TTTACATTGTTTTAAAAAGTGTTACATGCTTAAAACGATAACTCAATATGAAGAATGTGAATGAAATTGGAGTCCATTGAAAAAGGATCCATTATAATTTCTTGTTTTATTTATTTTAATTTTATTTTTCTCCTTGTTACTATGTGGAGTGGTATATTCTGATTGTAAATTTGTTGTTTGGTTTGAGTTAGGACCAGAGATAAATGTTAATCTTAGTTTGTTCCCAGATTTTTGGTGCCCACTTGTAATATAAGTTTGATTGTAGATAGGGGGCAGGGTTTAGTAAGAGTATTTTCTTCTTCCTGCTCCTTTTCACACATGGTTGCAGTGCTTTATTGATAGAAAGTGTGGTTGGTTGGTTTGAACTGTTGTACCAAGTGTGAAATAAATAAATAAGTGAAAAAAATGAAATGAAATGAAATAATGACACATTTGTCACATTTGAAGTTGGTATAGTCCAATCCTGCAGTTTACAGCAACATCGTTCACATTAAACTCTGCACACAGCTGTCACCATGTTCTGCTACTATGCTTTCCCTGAAACGGAAGTGTACAATGTGCTGAACCTCACATTACAATTCACCAAAGCCAAGCAGAGCTGTAAAGACACCTATAACATGTATGTACTAGTTCAAACCTTTCACAATGCCACAATGTTTGTCATCTTGGCCCCTGACACAGTTGCACACTGACACCTACTAAAAAGGTATTTAGCAGCTGTCAGCAGGTGTAATGGTTGCCACATTTACCATTTTAGGGCTAGATTTACTAACCAACTGCGGCACCACAAACGGGTCTAAAAGAAGTATTGACAGTATTTACAAAGATAGCACAGTGACAAGATTTTGTGAAAGAGGTGTTTGTAACTGACCCTGCTTTAGATCTATTTCTGGGAGTTCCTCTCAAAACATACAAAATATAGCAGTAGACTATTTAAATAAAACACACAAACGGATTTACTAACATTGATACATACAACACAGCACAAAATGTACTGCTAGTTACGCTATTATTGCTCAGTGATGCATTTTCAATAAAAAATGTGACCTGCTGTTTCGTTAAAAACCTTCCTTGAAGAAAATTGGTCTTGAGGTTTGCTGGTAAACATTGTAGCATTTTCTTAATTAGCAGAAGTTGAAGAAGTTAGAAGTTGTCTGTGTTTGTGCATGTAGCAATACAGTTTATGCATGCAGCATTCACTATTATACAAATTTGGCAACTTGTGGCTCCATAAATCAAGATCATGAGCACCAACCACTGTTAAGAAGGCTTTGCTTTGACCAAGTCCATCTTGTATTTACAGTCTGTGTTGTTAAAAAGTAAGGTTTTGTTACATATGCATTGCTCAGAAGCTCCACCTGCTTGCTGTTCAAATCTTTTGGTTGTAAGGTGTTTACAGTCGGCTGTCTGTAAGAAAAACTAACTCAGCTTCTTAACTGAAGGGTTGCACCAAGTCCAAGTATGAGACTAAAAACAGGATTATTTTGAACTGTGAATCACAAAAAACTACTTTCAGAAAATAAAATATAAGAAAATAAAATGACATTTCAAATAAGCATAACAAAACCGCTTTAAAAAGGTTTCTACGATGGATTTGACTAACATGCATGTGGAAAAAAATGGCTCTGATATCAAAACAATGTGATGCAACTACTGTTTACTATTTCAAATGTTCCCCCAGTTCCTACATGTAGCTGTCCATCTACACACCTGAGACTGCCGCACATCTGCTTCAGTCAGTCTCCTTTTTCAGGTATTTCTTCATGAGTGAAGCCACGTCTCCCCCCTCGCTGCCCTCTGCTTCCAATCTCTCACCCTGCGGCCTCTCAAACCTGCGTCTTGGCCCACCACCCTGGGAGCTTCGTCCTGATCCACCTGAGCTAGAGGACTCCGATTCAGAGCTTTTCCTGCTGTGGCTCGAGGGAGGCAGCTCTCCAAAGTGGACGCTTAGTGCTCTCCTACCTCCTCTGACTGAGCTGGCCAGGCTGCTGGTTGACTGAGCTCTCCTGATTGCAGGCAAGATGTCTGAGGCCGCGTCGTCACGGTCCAAAGGCAGACGCCGATTTTGGAAGACCATGGGTTCTGAACCTAGGGATCCTTCACCTACGTCCTCTGGAATGAGGCTCCCCACCATGCACTGCCGTGGTGCCAGAGGGGAGCGCTGGATGGGAGTTGTGACAGAGTGCAGCGACTTCTCTTCCTCTGGGATGGAGACGGAAGGAGCATGATGACGAGCAGCAAGTGAGGAGAGGTGCGGCAATGAGGGAAGCGATGAGAGAGAATCACCTGAGTTAAAGCGAGAGACTTTGCCTCCAGCTGCAGAGAGAGTTTTGGTAGAACGTGGCAGGAGTGGGGAGGATGGTTTCAGGATGCTGGGACCAGGTCTGGGCTCCTGGACATCTTCTGGACTGAGAGAGAGGGCCGAGGCTCTCCGTCTGAGAGTCGATGCGCCGGTTGTTTGATAAATTGCCAAAGAGACAGTACTGCCAGTTTCATCTCCTGCATCACCGCCAGCTCTGCGTTTACGAAGTCCTTCCAACAATTCAGACAGAGCTGTGGAGGATGGGGCTCGACCAAGAGATCTGCTAGCAACGCCTCCAGCCTCAGAGCCCTCATCATCAGGATTCACACAAGAACTAGAGAGTGATAAAAGAAGCAGTTTAAACCACAAACCAGCCCATATGTTTGGCTAACATACACAGACATCTAGGGCTAGAACTAAATATTGTCTCATTTCATCTATTGGGTGTTTATTATCAAAAACATTCTCTGTCCAACTAAACAGCCTAAACAGGGCTGAGCATTATATCAAATCAATTTGATCCATTCAACATTTTTGCTTTTTGAAAAACTCTGAGCACAACATGAAAGCATTAAGCTGAATGTCCACACATCATCTTTGTGATTCTGAAGAATTCAAATATTTTCTGTGGTAGAGCACAAATCAGGAGATTTCAAAGGTACTTTTTGTAATTGACCAAAAACTGTAAGAAACAATATATTTGATTGAAATGTTACTTAATAAGACGTGCAGTTAGTGGGGATAGGTTAATTGGAAACCCTAAATTGCTCATAGGTGTGAATGAGAGTGCGAATGGTTGTCTATGTCCAGGGTGTACCCTGCCTCTCGCCTTAAGACAGCTAGGATAGGCTCCAGACAACCACCAGCACTCTTCAGTGGGAGAAACATTTCCTCATTCATCCAAGTGACTTCAACTTTTTCAGATTTACTTACTTGAATGATGGAGCATGCATCAAGACAGTAGTTAATAGTAGTGTCACACAGTACTTGAAACACTTATCGTAGCTAGTTAGCTCATCAAAATCAAGCTAAGTGATTTATCATTGCAGCTTGAAGTACCTTGTGTTAGCAGACTTACTGTAAGCTGTAGGTGCTGATGGTGTCAGCAACAGACTGACGGCCCCCCTGGCTGCTGTGAAGTGAGCTTCCACCGCGGGAGCCTCCTCTAGACACTCCTGACCATGTGTGAATGCCTTCTCCCCCAACAGAGCCGACACTGGACACAGAGTCACTGCAGGACCAAAGCAAACCTCAGAAATCTGCTACAGCCAAATTGAATGAAATTAGATCTTTACCTTTTCAGCTGCTATAAACATGCAAGCACAATAAAAAAGGAAATATGCGACTGCAGCTCCATAAACAGCTGATGATTCCACTGTAAACCAAGATAGCATTACAGCAGGGGTGGAGCAGCAAGTAATGACTCATAAGATTGGCACACTGCAAACTTTCATGGCGCACTTTATCACAGGACTGTTTTTTGCTTACATGCTTACAAAAGGAAATGAAAAATTCTTATTGGTCTATGGTAAAAACATGCTCTAAGGCATACCATCAGTTAAGTTAGTGTCCTGTGGATTTTGGATGTTAGTAGTCATGTACAAAACCCTTCTGTCATGGCCTTGAGTCAGAGACCCAAAGTTTATGTTTTGGACATTCAGCAATATTCTCAAGTTAACTCCCTGGTTTTGGTTCGTATTGTTGTGATCCTTTCCTGTGCGGTATTTGTCATGGTCTTGGGTCGGTGACCCAGTGTTTTTTTTTTCTTGTTTTTATTTATATTTTTTGATTTAGTATTATTCATGGTTCTGTTTTTGCTTCCCCTGTGTCCTTGTCCTTGTCCTTAACACCATAATTCCCTCCACACTCACCACCAAGCTGGAGCATCTGGGACTCAGCTCATCTATGTGTCGTTCTGAACCTAGGGATCCTTCACCTACGTCCTCTGGAATGAGGCTCCCCACCATGCACTGCCGTGGTGCCAGAGGGGAGCGCTGGATGGGAGTTGTGACAGAGTGCAGCGACTTCTCTTCCTCTGGGATGGAGACGGAAGGAGCATGATGACGAGCAGCAAGTGAGGAGAGGTGCGGCAATGAGGGAAGCGATGAGAGAGAATCACCTGAGTTAAAGCGAGAGACTTTGCCTCCAGCTGCAGAGAGAGTTTTGGTAGAACGTGGCAGGAGTGGGGAGGATGGTTTCAGGATGCTGGGACCAGGTCTGGGCTCCTGGACATCTTCTGGACTGAGAGAGAGGGCCGAGGCTCTCCGTCTGAGAGTCGATGCGCCGGTTGTTTGATAAATTGCCAAAGAGACAGTACTGCCAGTTTCATCTCCTGCATCACCGCCAGCTCTGCGTTTACGAAGTCCTTCCAACAATTCAGACAGAGCTGTGGAGGATGGGGCTCGACCAAGAGATCTGCTAGCAACGCCTCCAGCCTCAGAGCCCTCATCATCAGGATTCACACAAGAACTAGAGAGTGATAAAAGAAGCAGTTTAAACCACAAACCAGCCCATATGTTTGGCTAACATACACAGACATCTAGGGCTAGAACTAAATATTGTCTCATTTCATCTATTGGGTGTTTATTATCAAAAACATTCTCTGTCCAACTAAACAGCCTAAACAGGGCTGAGCATTATATCAAATCAATTTGATCCATTCAACATTTTTGCTTTTTGAAAAACTCTGAGCACAACATGAAAGCATTAAGCTGAATGTCCACACATCATCTTTGTGATTCTGAAGAATTCAAATATTTTCTGTGGTAGAGCACAAATCAGGAGATTTCAAAGGTACTTTTTGTAATTGACCAAAAACTGTAAGAAACAATATATTTGATTGAAATGTTACTTAATAAGACGTGCAGTTAGTGGGGATAGGTTAATTGGAAACCCTAAATTGCTCATAGGTGTGAATGAGAGTGCGAATGGTTGTCTATGTCCAGGGTGTACCCTGCCTCTCGCCTTAAGACAGCTGGGATAGGCTCCAGACAACCACCAGCACTCTTCAGTGGGAGAAACATTTCCTCATTCATCCAAGTGACTTCAACTTTTTCAGATTTACTTACTTGAATGATGGAGCATGCATCAAGACAGTAGTTAATAGTAGTGTCACACAGTACTTGAAACACTTATCGTAGCTAGTTAGCTCATCAAAATCAAGCTAAGTGATTTATCATTGCAGCTTGAAGTACCTTGTGTTAGCAGACTTACTGTAAGCTGTAGGTGCTGATGGTGTCAGCAACAGACTGACGGCCCCCCTGGCTGCTGTGAAGTGAGCTTCCACCGCGGGAGCCTCCTCTAGACACTCCTGACCATGTGTGAATGCCTTCTCCCCCAACAGAGCCGACACTGGACACAGAGTCACTGCAGGACCAAAGCAAACCTCAGAAATCTGCTACAGCCAAATTGAATGAAATTAGATCTTTACCTTTTCAGCTGCTATAAACATGCAAGCACAATAAAAAAGGAAATATGCGACTGCAGCTCCATAAACAGCTGATGATTCCACTGTAAACCAAGATAGCATTACAGCAGGGGTGGAGCAGCAAGTAATGACTCATAAGATTGGCACACTGCAAACTTTCATGGCGCACTTTATCACAGGACTGTTTTTTGCTTACATGCTTACAAAAGGAAATGAAAAATTCTAATTGGTCTATGGTAAAAACATGCTCTAAGGCATACCATCAGTTAAGTTAGTGTCCTGTGGATTTTGGATGTTAGTAGTCATGTACAAAACCCTTCTGTCATGGCCTTGAGTCAGAGACCCAAAGTTTATGTTTTGGACATTCAGCAATATTCTCAAGTTAACTCCCTGGTTTTGGTTCGTATTGTTGTGATCCTTTCCTGTGCGGTATTTGTCATGGTCTTGGGTCGGTGACCCAGTGTTTTTTTTTTCTTGTTTTTATTTATATTTTTTGATTTAGTATTATTCATGGTTCTGTTTTTGCTTCCCCTGTGTCCTTGTCCTTGTCCTTAACACCATAATTCCCTCCACACTCACCACCAAGCTGGAGCATCTGGGACTCAGCTCATCTATGTGTCAGTGGATCTCCAACTTCCTAACTGGCAGACCACAGGCAGTAAGGATGGGCGGACATGTCTCAGCCTCCACCACTCTCAGCACTGGAGCCCCCCAGGGGTGTGTTCTGAGCCCCTGCTGTACTCTTTGTACACATATGACTGTGTGGCCACTACCAGCTCCACCACCATCATCAAGTTTGCTGACGACACCGTCGTGGTGGGCCTGATCTCTGATAACAACGAGACGGCCTACCTGAAGGAGATTAGGAATCTGGAGAACTGGTGCCAGAGGAACAACCTCCTTCTAAACGTCAGTAAGACAAAGGAGCTGATAGTGGACTTCAGCACTAAGCAGGAGAGGAACTACCAGACCCCCGTCATCAACGAGTGCCCAGTGGAGAGAGTGGACAGCTTCAAATACCTCGGAGTTCACATCACGCAGGACCTGTCATGGTCCTGTCACATCAACACCGTGGTGAAAAAGGCCCGACAGCGTCTCTACCACCTCAGACGCTTGAGAGACTTCCAACTGCCCTCCAAGGTGCTCAGGAACTTTTACTCGTGCACCATAGAGAGCATCCTGAGCGGGAAACATCTTAACCTGGTTCGGGAACAGCACCATGCAGGACAGACGAGCTCTACAGAGGGTTGTGCGGTCAGCTGAGCGCACCATCCGCTCCGAGCTCCCTGACCTGCACTCAATCTACAGCAGGCGGTGCTGGACCAAGGCCAGGAAGATCGTGAAGGACCTCAGCCATCCCAACAACAGACTGTTCTCTCTGTTGAGGTCAGGAAAGCGATTCCGCTCCCTGAAGACCAACACAGAGAGACTGAGGAGGAGCTTCTTCCCGCAGGCGATACGGTCTCTCAATCACACCACCACACAGTACTGACCCACACATAAGTTCTTACACACACACTGGACTATTCTGGACATTGTTTCACTTCATTACTTAAATCACGCTGCTGTTATTGTGTATATATTTATTTATATTTCTTCATACATTCTTATATAGTTCTATATTGTGTATTTTGTTGTACAGTTATTTTATTTTAACCTTTAATTTATATATTTCTTATTCCTTCCTAGTTAAATTTACCCTTTTTAATTTTTCATATTTATTTCCTATCTTATTCATAGCCTTTTCCTTTTTGTTTTCTTTAGGTCACGAGCAGTTGTCC